GAGAGAGAGAGAGAGAGAGAGAGAGAGAGTGGTGTTTGGTTTTGATGGAGGCTTTTGTTTGACAGATTGGTTGAGCTGACCAAAAAAGGTTTAGGGTTTAAGAAGTAGAAATGATCTCAGCCGTCAATCATTCCTAACAAAGTTACTCGTTAATGCTGGTCCAAAACCCGTCACTTGTATGGGCTTGGGTTAAAATATATATGGGCTTGGTTTGGACTATTGTCTCTTACAAGTTTGACTTGTAGATTGAGAATTGAGAGGCTTTTTAACATGTGGTGTTGTGGGGTTGAGGGATTTTGATTCAACTTGTTTCTGACAATTGTCTGTGGGGGGTTTGTAGGAGGGAATATTTACTTTTAGGTAGTTAGTGATCAACAATATAATACAACCATAGACAAAAATATTCATGATATTATTATTTTATATTTTTGAGAAATAAATATTAGAATATTTGATGAATCCCACCATATTATTTTGTTTCGAAATATGGGATTTCGTTTTTTCAGAAATTGAAAATTATTAAGCCAATTGTTTTGCAATGTTTTTCTAATGTATATGAAAATTCAACACACAACTCAAAATTATATTAAAATGAAAAACTTATCTGAATACAAATCTCAATATGGGTACATTCCTAACTATTTTTCATGTACACTTTGAGTCTATTGCTAAATGTAAATTCATCTGCCACATCATCCCCAGCATTCTGCTGCTGTTGGTGTACACATACTGCAGGCAGTTGCATTGCTTGAGGTTGCATGGTTGGATGAGAATCATTTAAACCAGAAGTCTACACTGACAAGTCCATAGAAGGTGGAAATTGGAATGGAGGACATACTAGTAGTTCTGAATATGAAACATGTTAGCCACAGTGGAAGAGTAAGTTAATCGAGCTGCATGGTTCATTACAAAAGGCAGACAAATGAAGAATGGTTAGAATAAATTATATGATGGATAATGATTGAATCAACATAAATTGGGGACCTACTTTTTATACAGAAACAAGGAGAAGAAAGAAATCAAGAACCCGACCTCTTGCAATATTTCTGTCAGTCCCCCCTGATCAATTTCGACTAATGCTGAGTGTTGGGAGGATAGAATGGAGACAATGGGAGGGAACTTCCCCATGTGGCTGGGATTGCCAGCCAATCCGATTAAGTAGACAATCTAAAGCCAATCTGATTAAGTAGACAATCTAAAGCCAATCTGATTAAGTAGACAATCTAAGGTAGCATAAACTTATGAACAAGTGCCAAACAAAGGCTGAATAGTGAATACACACCAACACTCTAACAACCTATCAACTCTGCCCAATTGCCCAAATAAATCATTCCAAGTCATCATCATTTAACTGTGCCTGAAGTGTACTCGAAGGAGTCTTTGGTAGCTGTTATTTTCAGATTGCTCTCATATGTAGGAGTTAAGTTCTCAACTTCCATTTCATCTTCGGTACCTCCACTCACAGGTTTAGCTTTTTGCTCTTCAGAAGATTTATAATCCTTCCCCACACCATCAGGATTTGACAATAAAGGCTCATTTATTAATTTTCCTCTTCTTGTAATCGCTCTTATACTTGTTCTCACTTCTCATGAGGGTTCTGCACAACTTTTGAGTCATCCTGCTTTTCAGCTTTTCCAGTGTCGATACTTACAGTTTCAGATTGTTCATTTGTGCCAGCAGATTCCTCACTGCTCACATCTTCATCAATCTCCTCCTCAGCCTTAAGTTGCAAAGATTCTATGGTACCCATCAAACCCCTGTTGACCTGTCTAAACATACCAGAAAATTAATAAACCATGCTCGTTAAAACATTGATGGGGCATGCATTAAATGAGTACGTCTGTGACTGTGAGAGATAAAAATATCAAGACGAACAATCCTTTCAGTTCAGCTAATGGAATATAATTATCAATCACAAACGACACAACTTTGGAAAGAATTTAGAACTTCTCATTAGGTGGCAAGAACTTTAGGAAGTTCCACCCTGTGGATCTTAATAAGTCAAGAACTTTTTATAGTAATTTATTCACACATAATACAAATTAAGAAAGCATTCAGTATTCCTAAATTAGATAGTAATTTAACAGCTAAACGTAGCAGTTCTAACCTGTGGATTTTTTATATAGTCGGAAATGTCAGTTAAGCAAAGTGCGTCAGGGCATTTCATGACGTTCTTTTGTGCTCTTAAGTTCCTCCTGCCTGCACAAGTCCTCTCTCTAACGAAAATCTGACCTGAAAACGCACCCTCCAAACAAGACTTACAGAAGCTGTGACCACAGGCAGCCATTACAGGAATGTGCATAACGTTACGACAAATTGTACAGCTCAGCCCTGCATGATTAGATCCAAATATAATAAATATTTGTATTACAATTGGAGGAAGTTGAGACTATACCGTATCAAACAAAACTATGTTCCTTAAGTGGTTGTCTAGTGAATTGACCATCCAAATAGGTTATACAGTGCAAAGGAGACCAAACCTTTCAGGAGTCTGTCTCTTCCCGACAAGTTCTCTGCATTCTTTTTAGCTTTCTGTGCTCTTTTCCTGTCCTCTGGATTTCTCGCATCCATTGTTTTTCTGCTAAGAGGAGGAGGCCTTTTCCATTTCCAACAACTCTCTTCCTCCTAAAATAAGGAAAATATAATTACAACTGCTCTGAGGGGCATCACGATAAAGACTATAATATAAAAAGAAGGAAAACACCGAATATTCACTATAGACGAACACTTGATATAATGTCTAGTGAAACCTTGGCTCTGAATACAGTTTCTATTCCTTTCAAAAGGTAGAGCTTCACTTTAAGAAAGAAAATCCTAGTTGGGCATGAAATCAAAAGGAACTTAATGTATATTAAAAAAGGAATTAAAGAGCTCACATCATAATCCCAAGATGGGTCTTCTTTCCTTTCAGTAACACCAGTTGCTGCTTTCAGCTCTTCTATGACTGGCAAAGATCTAGGTCGATCACCATGTTCATCACTGCAGTTCAAGTTTTCAATTAGATTAGAAGAAAAGTAAGAGCTTCATTAAACTTAGTCTACTATGTTAGATCAATTCAGATAATCATACGCAGGTATGTCAGTATGAAGTCACAAACCTTGACCATGGTGCAGGTTCATTGTCGCATCGGACAAACAGATATCTGCAGACCTTATGCTCCTGAAAACAATCATTCATAACATCTAGTCAACTGCTGCACTTACAAAGTGATAATTTCAGATAAAAATACCAATTATAAGAAATTGCCATACCTGCTTTCCAATTTTGCGCCAACATTTCTCTATTCTATATACACCGTCGTATTGCACTCCCTTGTCAGGGGCATAGGACGAAGACGAAGGCATGTGATTGAAAAAGAAGGCAGGACAGGAATCTGACCTCTGAGCAGTTATAAGGTTGATTATCCACAAAAGGATCTCTTCCTCCACTGCACAATATAAAAAAAGGAAATTGTAATAAGTGACAAGATAAATGAAATCAATTAGTGACTTAAACAAGTTACATATATCCAAGAGAAATAAAACAAATCACTTCCTCAGCCATTGATTAATACAACGAACTCATATCATAAGAAAGAGAAAAATGTCAAATGGCAAGAACAGTAAATTGCTATATCAATATCTTATGGTACTTCCTAATAA